GGTGCATCTTATTCGTTATATGTTGCTGCGATATTACCATTATTTGTTTTTATTATTTTCCCTAGACAACCAAAGTATAAAAATGATGAAACAAATCCAAAGAAAGTGTTTCAGAATACTGTTAAGAATAGAAGTCATCCAAAGACTTTTTATTATTCTTCTATTATAGTTCATTTATTCCTTTATGGTGTAATTGCTATTATTAGTAATCAATATGTAGATTATGCTGATGATCATCATATTCATCTTAATGGTATTTCTGAAGAAGCTTCAGTATTTGTTGGAGTATTTTTATTTGTTGAAAATGTTGTTCAAACTATTACTTTTATTGTTCTTGGAAGATGGAGTTATTGGCAGTATAAACAAAGATTTAATCTTCTTGCTCTTTGTATAATGTTAGTTGTTGCTCTTGGTCTTTTATTTAGCCCTAATGGATGGATAGTAATGATATTTTCTGTTCCAATGGGGATAGTTGCAGGATATGAGTTACAAGCTAATCTATATTATTCAATTACAGTTTCACATAATCATGGTAAATTTTTAGGTATTAGTGAATTTATTGGTGAAATGACATACTCATTATCACCTTTTATTTGTGGTTTGTTATGTTCTGCATTTGGTAAAACTTGGTTACACTTTCTTAATATCTTTATGTGTTGTTGTGGAATTTTAATTATTTCCATTATTGCTAGTGTTTATAAACGTAAAAATGTCTTTGGTTTTAATCGTATTCAATCACCATCTAAAGTTACAATTGAATTTGATGATATGTCTCGATCTTCTGCAGATGCTGGTAGATCGTCTATGGATACTGTAAGAACTTCAACAAGTTTAGATGGTAGTGATATTTATAGAACAAGTATTCTAAAAGTTCTTAGAGATGAAAAAGACACAGTTAATAATCAAACACCAGTACCAATTGAAGATACTTCAAATAAATCAACAGAACTACAAGAACCAACACAAAACGTTGGAAATGCTATTATTTCTGATGAAGTTGAATCTGTAGAAAATAGCAATAAGTAATTGAAAAAAATGTAACTGATTAAATTTTTTTTAAACAGTTAATAATTTCTTATTTTCTTTTTAAAAGAAGTAAAATATATTAAAAATTAAATAAAAAAAAATCAATAGTTTTTAAATATCATGTTCTATCTTCATTCCTGTTGCTACCAATACAGTACTTGGTAATTCCTCAACTGGGTGTGGTGATAAAATTTCTATTTGTAAAGAAATGTTTTGATCTTCTGTTGAAATGCTAATATTTTCTACAGTAACAAATCCAATAACATTTGTTGTATCATTTAATACTTCATCAACAGTAGTACAGTTTAATAAAGCATATACGTCATTCTTTTTTATATCTTGTCTCTCTTTTTCTTCAACATATGGCTTTTGTGATGCAGTTTGTCCAATAGGAAGAAATCCAGCGTTCTCATTATTTAATGATTTGATTGTTACTACTTTAGCTGATAAACTTAATAATACAGATGAGCGTGGACAAAGTGGTGATTCTGGACTACATCCATAAAAATAATTATTTACCGCTCGGTGTTGAAGTCGTCTAATAAATGAGTTATATTCAATACATAATGGAATTCCTGTAGGTTTATTTACAAATGAAGAAGTTACACAATGATCAAATTGAGATGACTCAATTTCATTTAATAGTTGTTCACTATCCATAACATAAACTAAATCAACTTTGAAACTATTAACAACTTTTTTAATTACTTCCATTGAAATAAATGGACATCGAATAATCATTCCACTCTTTTTCACTGATTGGTCTGAATTCATTTTCATTAAGCAATTAGCTGCTAATAATTCTATGTAATGATAATACAATGGGTTTTTATCTTCTATCTTTGTTGTTCCACAACAATACACTAAAGGTTGATTGAAATTATAATCAAGTTGTGTTGTTGGTGAAAAGGTATTTGATACCACAGTACAGCCAATACATCCTGGAAGCTAGAAGTTAATTTTTTAGTTTAAATATTAACAACAATTTATTTTGTTAAGCAAGAAATAAAGAAAAAAAAAAAAGAGTTATTATATTTTAATATATAGCTAGAAAACTTATGGAATAAAAGTTAACAACAAACAGTAATAATATTAGTTGATAAACTTAAATCAACAAATAATGGATTATACCCATATTGAACTTGATAATTTAATTGATGTAATGTGAATGTTGTTTTACCAGAACGAGCTGGACCAGTAACAAGAATAATTTGTGCTGGTTCATCTTCAGCAAAATGACTACGGTTGTCATTTAAATTATTGAAAATAGAATAATATTCTTCAACAACTGACTTTATTCCAATATAACAATTCTTTGAATTAATAATTTCAACATCAGACTCTTCAATAGCATAAAACGATAACCACGTATTTTGTTGAATAGGTTGTGCAGTTCCATTTGATAACTCACATCCATTCCATTCCATCTGTCCTTTTAATATTTTAAATGTAAAATTTTCTCCAGTGATAATTCTTAATTCTTTTCCCTTATTAACATGCATTGTTTTGATATCATTCGTTGAAGTGGTCATCCCTTTTTTTTTACGTTTTTGAGTTCTTCTCTTTCTCTCTCAATTCTATATTATTAATATTATTAATATTATAAAATTATAGTTTATAGTTTTGTTTTTTATCATTTTAAGAAATTATATTTTTATTGTTAAATTAATGAGATGATCTTTTTCTTTTTGAGTTTCATCTTTCCTTAATAAATAGACAATTAAGATATTCAAAGTTTTAAAAGAAAAACACAATGAAAAGAAACCAGAAAATAAGGAGATGAGAGAAATAATGATTATCGTGATTCTGAACCGAGATTATAATGTACGAGTACATCTGCCCCTTCTTTGTATACTTCATACCCATAACCAGGATTGAGATAACAATATTCTACGAATAATGGAGTGTTTCCTAAAGTATTTGTAATATCTTTGTGAAGTGCAATATGGGTATCTTTGACATCGCTCATTGCAAATAAGAATGCATCAACAACATCTTGTTTAGGTGCTGGAACTAATACACTTATTCTAATAATAATTAATATAATTAATAAAATAAGAAATAAATAATAACAAACTTAACAAATCCTTCTGAACTAACTATGACACATAAATAGAAATATGTATAAACTGGAGGTAAATTGGTTAATATTTCTACAACGTTAACAGGTATTGGTGGGAATCCAAATGTAGTAAATGCAGAATGTACTTTATCCATTCTTGATGAAATAACACCATCCAATTTAAATCTAAATTCTGATTGTCTAGGTGGTGTTGCTCCCATATCTCTTCCCATTTGACAAAGATAATTTAATCCATGTTCTTTAGCCCATGTAATAAGTCGTTCAGCATATTCACATTTATCAGCAGTGTCTCTAATAACATCACAAACTAAATCACCTTTAAAGAACCATCCTCCATCCATACCATTCATTACACTCATATCAATCCAAGAACCAATTTCAGATGGATTAATTTGACATCCTAAATTATTTAAATGATCAATTTCCTCATCAGGTGCACCAACATTCCAAAAGAAATCTACCATATTTTGAATTAAAGCACCTTGAGGTCCAAATACTCTCCAACTTAATTTTTCAGTATTTCCTGATACAACAAGCATAAATTGAATTGATTGACCAACTTCAAGAGCATCTGATTGAGGAGTAGAGTCCATCCAATATTTCCAAAATTCAACAACGTTTTCTCCTTCAACTTGTAACCAAGATATTTTAGCTTTAATTTTGTTAATATTCTTTCTTCCATCACATTTTGGTTGAAGTGAATTTGGAATATTTACAGTATCTGCCATTGGTGGGATTGTTGCAGTAGCTGGTTGAGTTGAAGTAGAAGGACCAGTTGTAGAATTGTTTCCTTGTAAAGTAAATTGATTTTCAACTTTAGGGACATTAATAGGAGTTGTTGATTGAGCAGTAGGGATAGAAGAAGTATTTGAAGAAGGAGAGGATTTAGTTAATACCTTTCTTACAGCATCAAAGAAAGTAGCATGATCAACAGAATTTTCTGTAACAATATAAAATACACGAGATCCTTTTGTGTTTCTTGAGTTAATAGAAAACATAAACTTTTTATTTTGTGATACATCTTTTGTTTCTGTTCCTGGAGGTAATTCAATAAATCCTTTTGCTTCTTCAGCTGTTTTAGAAGCAAAATACCATAACCGATTTTCTTTTAATACAAACCATCTTTTTTTCCATGTCTTTACAGATCCTCCTTGTTTCTTTCCCCATCCTTCAAACAGTGCAGGTCTTAATGATTCGACACTGATTTTCAATTCTTCTGACATTTCTTCCTTTAGTCTTATTATTTGAGATCTTTAAAACGTTTTTTCTTATTTTTTTAATTTTTTTTTTATTGGTTAAAACTTTTAATGACTTTCTATATTTATTTAAATTATAGACAATAAAAATTTTGTTGCAAAAATAAATAATAAACTCATTATATTTTTATTTCCTTTATTTTAAGTTTTATTTTTATTTTTACCAAGGAAATATGAAAAAAATAACAAATTTATTAACGAATCATTGTACTAGGATTGGGCAGTGGAACTGATGAATGAGAAGACCCAATCCCAGCTCTAGAAGTATTGACAGTTAATGGAACGCAATTTTCACATATACTAGATTCATCCCATCCCATTTGTTTTAATAAATGAGCTCCAATATTTTCGTTAATGTTTGGTATTGTTGTGGGATAAGCTGATGTTTGTTCTGATAAAGAAGATGGGAGTTGTTTAAGTGAGAGTTGTTTATCTGTTATTTCATAATTAATATCATTTAAAAGCTTACAATTTATACAATGGAATATACTTTCATTACAATGTTTTTGTAATTCATCTTTATCTTTAAATTGTCTTCTACAAATTACACAAACAAACCAAGGGGGTTGAACAATTCTTTCCCCAAAATCTTCGATCATACTTCGTATTTTCTTTACATCAATTCCATGAATCATTCCTAGTCCATGTCTTTTTAATTCTTTACCTTTTAGAACTCTTTTATTTTCATGTTCTAATCTAATACAACTATTTTCGTATTCTAATTCAACGGCTTTCCAATCTTCTTCATTCATTGTTTGAGTTCTTTTATTCCATCTTAAAATATTTTTTTTTGTTTCATCACTTTTGATTTCATTTTTATCTTCAGATTCTTTAGTCTCTTCTTTAGTTGTTATTGGATTTTCTTTATAACAGTCCATCATTACTTCCCATGCGTCTTTATTATACTCATCATTTTGACATTTTTTTATGACTTGTTTTTTTTGAACTAATTTCTTCTGTTGAGTTGTTTTTGTTTCATTAAGTTTAAGTTGAATTTTTTTTGAGTCTTCATTACCATTTTCCCAATCATAATCATCTTCATCTTCGTCATTATGTTGAAAGAGATTATCAAGATAAGATAGACGTTTGTCACTCATTTGACTTACTTAAAATTAATCTTTAGTTTTAATTTTTATTTTCAAAATTTTTTAAAGTGAAAAAAAAAAGGATATTATTAATTATTATTTAATAGGAATTTCTATTTTCATTTGACTCTCTTTAAAATATTCATTCAACACTTCAATTAACCGTTCTATCTCT